AACCCAAAATGGATTAAAGGCTTGAATGTAAGACGAGAAACCATAAATAGCCTAGGAGAAAGCATAGGTGGTAAGCTCTGTGACATATCCTGGTGCTGATTTTTTTTTTTGTTTGATACCAAAAGCAAAACAACAAAAGCAAAAATCAAGTAGGACATCAAACTAAAAAATTTCTCTACAGCAAAAGAAATCAACAGAATAAAAATTCAACCTATGAAATGGGAGAAAATATTTCCAAGTTATATATCTGATGGGGTTGATATCCAAAGTATATAAAGAACTCCTATAACTCAATTGCAGAATAACCAAACAATTTGGTTTGAAAATGGGTAGAGGATCTGAACAGACGTTTTTTCAAAGAAGACATGCAGATGGCCAAACAGGTACGTGAAAACACGAGAAAATCAGGGAGTGGAAATAAATACCACAATGAAATAATCACCTCACACCTGTTAAGATCGTGATTATCCAAAAGACAAGAAATAACAAGTATTGGCCAGGATGGAAAGGGAACTCTTGTGTACTGTTGGTGGAAATGTAAATTCATGCAGTCAGTATAGAAAAGAATATGGAGGTTCCTTCAGAAATTAAAAATAGGGCGCCTGGGTGGTTCAGATCATGATCCCAGGGTCCTGGGATTGAGTCCCGCATCGGGCTCCCTGCTCCTTGGGAGCCTGCTTCTCCATCTGCCCCCCTCCTTCTCTCTCTCTCTCTCTCTGTCTCTCATGAATAAATAAATAAAATCTTAAAAAAAAAAAATTAAAAATAGAACTACCACATGATCCAGCAGTTCCACTTCTGGGTATTCATCTGAAGGAAACAAAAACACTAAAAAAGATATCTGTGCCCTCATGTTCATTGCATCATTATTTACAATAGGCAAGATATGGAATCAACCCAAGTATCCATACATAGATGAATGGATAAGAAAATGTGATATGTGTATTGGAATAGTATTCATGTAATAAAAAAGATTGAGGAGTGCCTGGGTGGCTCAGGCGGTTAAACGTCTGCCTTCTGCTCAGGTCATGATCCCAGGGGATCAAGCCCCAAGGCAGGCTCCTGGTCGGGGTGCCTGCTTTTACCTCTCCCTCTGCCCCTCTCCCCAGCTTGTGTGGGCTTGCTCTCTCTCTCAAATAAATACATCTTTAAAAGAGTAAAATCTTGCCATTTGTGATAACATAAATGGACTTTAAGATTATTTTGCTAAGTGAAATAAGTTAGAAAAAGACAAATACTATATGATCTCACTTATGTAGAATCTAAAAAAGCCAAAAATATAAAAAATGACAAAGCTCACAGATAAAGAGATCACATTCATGGTTGCCAGAGGATGGTGGGGATGTGTGCAAAATTGGTGAAGGGAGTGAAAAGGTACAAAATTTTAGTTCTAAATTAGTCATGGGGATCTAATGTACAGCATGGCAACTATAGTTAATACTTAAATTATTTCAAAGTTGCTAGGTGGTTAAATCTTAAAGGTTTTCATTTAACAAATTTGTGGGGTGCCTTGCTTCTCACTCAATGGAGCGTGAGCCTCTCGATCTTGGGGTTTTAAGTTCAAGCCCCATGTTGGGTGTTGAGATTACTTAAAAATAAAATCTTTAAAAAAATTGTAAGTATTGTGATGAATGTTAACTAGATTTATTGTGGTGAACATTTTGCAATATATACAAATATTGAGTCATTATGTTTTATACCTGAAAATAATATGTTCTGTATCAATTATACATCAGTAAAAAATAATATAATTCCATATAGGCTCCAAAGAAAATGTACCTGATATGATGACATTCAAACCCAAGTGAAAGAAAACATTGAAGTGTGATGCTGTGTACTTTATTAACAGTATATAAATTTTGCAAACTTAATAGGACCTTTTCCTGAATGTTCCCAAAATTCTTTTTTTTTTTTTTTAAAGATTTTATTCATTGAGAGAGAGTGAGTGTGAAAGAGAGAGAGAAGGAGCATCAGGGAGGGGCAGAGGGAGAGGGCAAAGCAGACTCCTCACTGAGCGGGAAGCCCAACAATATGGGGCTTGATCCACGGACGCTGGGATCATGACCTGACCCGAAGGCAGACGCTCAACCTGCTGAGCCACCCAGGCGCCCCGGTACCCACAATTCTTAAATTTTAGAGAAGAATGAGAACTATAGACTTAAGTTAAATGGACCTTGATAGAAAGTAATGTGTTGCTGAGACTTAGGCAGGAGCTTTGAAGTCAGGCTGTTTGTAAGATCCCTCCCCTCATCTACCAACTGGGAAGGATAGACCTAGTTAGCCCTATAACAAGCTGTTGAGAGATGGGAAACTGTGTTGAAGTCAGCTTTCCAGTGGCTGAACAGAATCCACAAACTGCCGAAAACAAAAGAGGGGCCTATACATCCTAGGCTTTATGGTGATAGGGTTAGTTGCCTTTCCTAATGGGCAAAAGGTCAAAATCGAACACACCCACACATAAACAAAACACAAGATGTGCCTCTGAGATTTTTTTTTTTTTTTTGGTAACAGGTCAGTTGAGATATTCACATATCAAATAATTCATCCCTTTAAGGTATATATTCAGTAAATTAAGTATATTCAGAATTGCACAACCATCAACACATCAATTTTAGAACATTTGTGTCACCTCAAAAGGAAGCCCCTTTTTTTAAGATATTATTTATTTGAGAGCGCACGTGTGCATGCGCACATGAGCCAGGGGGAGGGTCAGAGGGAGAGGGAGAAGCAAACCCCCACTGAGCAGGGACCTGGCACAGGGCTCCATCCCAGGACCCTGGGATCATGACCTGAGCTGAAGGCAGACGCTTAACGACTGACCCAGCCAGGCGCCCGGGAAAGCCTTTACTTTCTATTACTCCTCAGTCCCTCTCCTCCTGCCCATACCTATGCAACAGCTAATCCATTTTTTTTCTCTATGGGTTTGTGTATTTTGGACAGTTTGTTTAAATGGAATCTTCTAATATGTGATCTTTTTGACTGGCTTCTTTCACTTAAGGTCATGTTTTCAGGTTCGTTTGTGTGGTAGGTATCATTTCATTCTTTTCCTTTTTTGATTAACATTTCATTGTGTAGATATATCACACTTTGTTACTCATTTATTAGTTGATGGGCATTTGGGCTGTTTTCACCTTTTGGCTATTATTAGTGTTGATATAAACATTCATATGTAAGTTTATAAGTAGGCATATGTTTTCATTTTTCTTGGGTGTATATCTAAGAATAGAATTACTGGGTCAAATGGAATGACCAGCTGATGACTAATGATCTTAGGCATTATTTCAGATGCTTTCTGCCCATTTGTACATCTTTGAAGAGATGTTGAGGTCTTTTGCCCAGTTTTTAAGTGCCTTTGGAATTTATATTTTTTATTAGATATGGTGGTAGATGCCCACAGACAGCCAGCCTACTTAAACTGTAGCTGTTCCTAACAATTCCCACTGTATCATCAGGCAGCTGAAAAGTAAACAAAGATTATAAACCCTCAATATCCATTTCTCTAGCCGCTCAAAATACAGAGACAAGTCAGTGCCCAGACAAATGAGAAATGTCACTTTGTTCTTAGGAAATATTGAAAATTGCTAGATCTACAGATCTACTCCTGTGAACATATAGTAGCTCCAGATGAGAGCACAAATGTGGTCCCAGTTGTTTTCATCTTCAGTTAGGATTTATGCAAACATACTGTCATGAAACGAATTAATAAGAAAGTGGAGATAAGTTCACTTTGAAAGAATTAATCTGGGAAATATAGGAGCACACTCTATAAAACGTGCTCTGGCTATCAGATGAAAATTTTTAAAGAAAATTGAGTGGGAGGAAAGAGAGCTGAGAGAAAGAAACTGATTATTGTGCTGATAATTCATTGGAAGTAACCAGGAGGTGAATATGGAGGACAGTCTTGAGAAAAATCACTTGTGAGAGCAAGTGAAAAGAATAATCTAGGGGCACCTGGGTGGCTCAGTCGGTTAAGCGTCTGCCTTCGGCTCAGGTCATGATCCCAGGGTCCTGGGATCGAGCCCCGCATCAGGCTACCTGCTCAGCCGGGAGCCTGCTTCTCCCTCTCCCTCTGCCCCCCTCCCCCTTGCTCATGATCTCTCTCTCTCTCTGTGTGTCAAATAAATAAAATCTATAAAAAGAGAATAATCTAGAAGACCATGAAGAGTCAATATATGATTTTTGCAAAAACAAGAACAGAAACAAGTGAAAAAGAAATGATAGGCAACTATAGAATAGAAGAAAATTTACTAAAGGGGAAAACCTGAATTTACAGATCAAAATATTTGTTTATTTCACAATCCCCATTACTGAATATGGAGTTGTTTATGGGTTTTGTAATAGGCAGCCAGTCTTTGTCCTCACTTTTTGCTATTTTAGGATCAACTCTTGAAGTCAATCTGCTGGTACAGGGAATATGCATATTTTAAAGTATGCAAATCAAAGTGATTTTATAGGTAAAAATGTTATCTCATTGGTTTATATTTGTCTTTTTCCTAGTGAGATTATTTTTTTCCATGTAAATTTTTACATTTGAGTCTTTAATTCGTGTCTTTTACTTTTTTCTTTTCAGTTTTCATTTCCCCTTGTCATGGTCATGGTACAAAATCTTTGTCAGTTTATTTTTTCTCTTTTAGCTAAAAAGTCATTTTTTTATATAAATGCTGAGTTTTTATGTGATTATATTTGCTTGTTTTTTTCTATTGTTTGCTTAGAAAGTTCTTTACTCAATATTCAGTTAAGTTTATTTCCTGCTAATATTTTATGATCTTAGTGTTTACATTTAAGTAAGTAATTCATTTGGAGTTCATTTTGGTTTTTGGTATGGAGTAAAGATCTGATTTTATTCTTTTAACAAATAACCAATATTTTCAGTGCCTTTTCTAGATTACCTTTTCCTATTGCTTGGTGGTATTTCATCTTGCATATTTTAATACAATCTTGTCTTTATATTTTATTTAAATGTTTACTGTGATCTGATAAATAATTTTTTTTATTTTTAGAATAAGGAGAGTTTATCTTCTGTTATTACTGACCTCAACATAATAATGGAGCCCACTGAATATTCAGAATTAAGTGATTTTGTGTCTAGGTAAGATTTTGCAAATTTTTATTTTGTTAGGGGTTGTTTTCACTCTACATTTTTAAGTTTACCCTTTTTTTGGTAAGGAAATATCAAAATATCTCTGAAAGTGTAACATTATTATGGTTTATATTCATATTCATATATATATGGCTTATATATTAAGTCCATATTCTCTGTATCATTTTTTCATCCAATGAAAATGTATTACACATTATGTGCTAGACATTAAAATGTGACGAAGAACAGATATAATCTTTGATACTCAAGGAGTTTCTAGCCTATTGGTGAAGTCGTAAGTTAAATAATACTAGAAATAAATCTAAAATTGTGGCTGTGCTCAGTGCTGCAGAGAAGAGTTACATAATGCTATTAAAACATTTATCAAGAACCTGACTTTCATGGAGAACATGGAATCATTTCCTGAAAATTAAGCCAACACCTGAAAAATGTGTAGGTGTGAACTAACGAAGAGGTCCTCGACAGGGTAGTTGTGTGTAGGCACTCTGCAAGGAGGGAATGTGCTGTCTGTGAGCAACTGACAGGAGGAGAGAGTGACTGGAGCAGGGCACAAGCTGGGGTGTGTGCTCTGACATGAGGCCCGCCAAGTATGTGAGGTCCACACTGTGTGGAGATTGGTCATAGTCCTGAGACCAATGTAAAGCTATTGAAGCAGAGCCTAAGGCAGAAGTAGGAGATCCTGGATGCTTCAGGGAGAAGAGACTAAAGGGAGGCAATAGTAGATACAGCAAGGTCCGTGATTAGCATATGAAAATAGTTCATGCCACAGAAATTTGTAGGTTGGACTATAATAATTAGCCGAGGTAGAGAGCTGGTTGGATTTGGATTTGGGGGATATTTAGGAAGCACAGTTGTTGGCTGAATGGGAGGTCAGGAGTCATTGACAGGGGATCACTCCTTGATATGATTGCATTTGTTGAGATAGGGAAAGTTGAAAGATAATCATGGCAAGTGAGCTTGTGACTTCGGGTTGGACATGGTGAGTGCCTGTGAAACCCTGAAGTAAAAATATGAAGTGGGCAGCTCAGAAGAGGTGTAGGTAGGAGGGGGAGCCCCCGATTGTTTCTGCCAGTGGGTAAAAGTTAAGGCCTTGAGCTTGAGGAATGAGATTGCCTATGGAGAGAATAGAGAGAAATAGGGGAGGGACTAACAGTGGACCCTGTGGAATTATAAATGTGCTGTGGGGTGGAGATAGGGTGTTGCAGAGGAACTGGAGGAGGGACAACTATGTGAGAGGTGGCAGGAAAACCAGGAATGTGGTGTTGACCACTGACAGCTGGAGTGACAGCTTTTCTTCCACATCCAGTCTCTTCTGGATTGCATAGGTCATGACAAGAAATCTGCTATAATTGTTAATTTTGTTTTTAGGCTGTCTTCAAACCTTTCTCTTAATGTTGTTTTTCCACAGTTTGTTTTATTTCTAGGGTGTGTTAGTGTGAAAATTCCCAAAGACATCTTTTCAAATACTTCTGCCCTGTTTTCTATTCTTCTTCTGCAGTGCTAATTGCACATATATAGGGTGTTTGGTATATTGTCTCAGGGTTTGGATGCTTTGTTCTCTTTCTTTTATCCCCCCTTTTTTTTGCATTTCAGTTTGGATAATTTCTATTACCCTATCTTTGAGTTCTTAGGTTCTTTCTTTAGCTGAAGTCCAGCCTGACAGTGAGCCCATTGAAGGAATTCTTCACCTCTAATGTCATGTTTTTTATTGCTAGCATTTTCATTTGATTCTTAATTTCTCTCTTTACTGAAATTCCCAGTTTGTTTAAGCATTTGTACAACTTTTCCACGAGATCTTTTAACATGTTAATCATAGCTACTTTTTTCTTTAGTGTTTCATTTTGGAGGTTTTCATATAAATGTAAAAATAATAGTCTAATTAACCTGCAGCTGTACACCTTCAACAATTATCAATATCTTGCCTGTCTTATTTCATCTCTTGTTACACATATTTTTAAAGTTTTAATTTTGAAATAATTATAGATTCTCATTGAGTTGTAAAAAAACCAATCTATAAGGAGATTCTACATACCCTTCATCTAGCCTCTGACAATGGTAACATCTTGCAACAGTAAAATACACTTTTTTTTTTTTTAAACATTGTATTGACTATTTGAGAGAGCGAGAGAGAGCACATGTGAGCACAGAGGGAGAGGCAGATGCCCTGCTGAGCAGAGAGCGGGCGGGCCATGGGACTGGATCCCAGGACACTGAGATCATGACCTGAGCCAAAGGCAGATCCTTAACCATCTGAGCCACCCAGGCACCCCAGTAAAATTGACATTAGTAAAACCCACAGAGCTTTTTCAGATTTTACCAGTTTTACAAGCACTTGTGTGTGTGTATGTGTGTTTTGTGCAATTTTATTACCTCTGTAGCTTCATGAAAACACCACTACATTCGAGATACAAGACTGTTATTTATCTTTGTACTAGCTCCTTTTTCCCCTCATTTTTAAAATCGTGGTAAAATATATATAACGTAAAACTCACCTTAACCATTTTTAAGCAGATAGTTCAATACTATTAAATACATTCAGAATGTATTTAACTGTGTACACCAAGATCTATGTTCATAACCCTTCCATCTTGTAAAACAAACTCTGTATGCATCAGTCACTTCCCATCTTCCCCTCCACTCAGCCCCTGGCACCCTCCATTCTTATTTCTGTCTGACTTTTATTTTTATTTATTTTTTTAAAAGGTTTTATTTATTTATTTATTAAAGAGAGAACATGAGCAAGAGAGAGCACGAGCAGGCCAGAGGGAGAGGGAGAAGCAGACTCCCTGCTGAGCAGGGAGCCTGATGTGGGGCTTGATCCCAGGACCCTGAGATCATGACCTGAGCCGAAGGCAGATGCTTAACCGACTGAGCTACCCAGGTGTCCTTCTCTGTGACTTTTAATCATGGTGATTTTAATGTTCCTGTCTGATAGTGCCAACATCTGAGTCATCTTTGAACCCAATTCTGCTGATTCTGGGGTCTTTTTTCCTGAATTTTTGTGTGTCTTTTTTTTAAACAAATGATGGATATTATCTGTGGAAAATTGGTAGAGACTCAAGCAAATAGTGTTTATGCTGAGAAGTGGGCACGTTTCTTTTAGCCTGCTATTAGGGTGGGGTTAATTCAAGGTCGTTAGCAGTTAAGCTGTGTTTGAGATTTTTATTGTTTTCCTTATCTTCAGGCTTCACATCACCACAGGTTTCACATTCTTCCAGCTGTGGATTCAAATTCAAGTTTTGTTCTTCCTTATGCTTAGAATGGGGTTTTGGGACCTGGAGGGTTCTCCTCAGTGTCCCCAGTCCACCCAGCTTTCTGCCTTTCTGAGGGGACCCTTTCTCCATATGTGCTTGACACTCCCCAGTAGCAGTTGTGGATGTTTGTTACTTGGTGCCCTGCTTGTGGTGGGAGTAACAGAAGTTCTGTATTTTCACGGTCCATCCTCAGTATTGGGCAGTCCTATGTATCTGTACTTCAGGACTTGGGCTCCCCAGTATAGCCAAAGCCAGCTTGGATCTGGGGTTGGTCTTGGGCAGGAGAGCATTCTTTGTTCCTCCTCTGAGGGGTAGCAGGTGAATGCTTGGTAGTAGTGTAGGATCCTGGGCCCGGTGGGTTTCCTGCCCCTCTCATGGGACAGGCAGTTTTTGCCACTGCCCCTCTTCCTGAAGCAGTGGATCTTTGTCTTGGTAACAGGTGTGTTTTCTGTCTCTCAACCAAAGTCAACTTCTGCTCTTCCCTTAGAAGCAAGGCATTTTTTTTCTTCCATTGCTTTGTTGCTTTTTTTTTTTTTTTTTTTAAAGATTTTATTTATGTGGGGGCTCCTGGGTGGCTCAGTCATTAAGCGACTGCCTTCGGCTCAGGTCATGATCCCAGAGTCCCTGGATCAAGTCTCTCAAATAAAATCTTTTTTTTAAAAAAGATTTTATTTATTTATTCGAGAGAGACAGAATGAGAGAGAGAGCACACGAAAGGGGGTAGGGTCAGAGGGAGAAGCAGACTCCCTGCTGAGCAGGGAGCCCGATGCGGGACTTGATCCCAGGACCCTGAGATCATGACCTGAGCCGAAGGCAGACGCTTAATGACTGAGCCACCCAGGAGCCCCTGTCTTTTCATTTTCTTAACAGTATCTTTCAAAGAGCTAATTTTTCTGATTTTAAGAAGTTAATCTTTATTTCGTCTTTGATATGTTTTTGGTATGATGTCTGTCACTTTTGCCTAACCTCAGGTTATAAAGATTCTTACATTTTAAAAAAAATTTATACTTTTTCCTTTTACATTTAGATCTGTGATTCATTTACATTTAATGTAATCATTGATATATTTTTGATGTCTACCCAGTTAGTAGTTAATTCTGTTGTGTTGTTTAGTTCTTCTGTTTTCCTTTCATGCATTTTCTGGATAATTTGAGTATTTAAAAATTGTTTTTATTAAGTAAACTCTACCTACAGCATGGGACTCGAACTCATGACCCCGACATCAAGAGCTGCATACTCTATTGACTGAACCAGCCAGGCATCCTTATTTGAAATTTTTTTTTAAGATTTTATTTTTATTTTTTTTGAGAGAGATAGCACATGCATGAGCGGGGGTGGGGGGGGGAGGAGGGCAGAGAGAGAGAGAAGCAGGCTCCCTGCTGAGCAAGGAGCCCAACACAAGGCTCAATCCTAGGAACCTGGGATCATGACCTGAGCTGAAGGCAGACGCTTAACCTACTGAGTCACCCAGGGGCCCTTGATATTTTTTTTTTTTTTAAAGATTTTATTTATTTATTCGAGAGAGAGATTGAGAGAGAGAGAGCACATGAGAGGGGATGGGGTCAGAGGGAGAAGCAGACTCCCCGCCGAGCAGGGAGCCCGATGCGGGACTCGATCCTGGGACTCCAGGATCATGACCTGAGCCAAAGGCAGTCGCTTAACCAACTGAGCCACCCAGGCGCCCCGATATTTTTTAATACTTTATTGTAATTGTAATTTTTTACATATTACATA